GCAAATGACGACTTTAAGCACTCCAAATTGAAGTTCAGAATGTGTCTGATCCAACCACACAAGTTTTGGCCCAATCCAAGCTCGGATGAAGAAGTTAAGGCCAAAACAAATTGCTAACTCGTTTTGCTCGCTGACAAAAATCCATCAAAGATAAACACAAAAAGGATTAAAAGCACAAGTTTAACTCAAAAATATAACCAAATCATAAGCTAGAAGGGTACAAAATGATATACAATTATGAACGATCATGACCTCGAAAAGCCAATGCTTGATTTGCTAGATACCTAATGCTCTCTATTGTGGTTGTAAGTCGCAACTGATTATCCATCACTTATTGCTTTGATTGCTTATCTACCATTGTTTCAATATGAAGAGATGGGTTTTTTAAGCTAACCCACTTTTGCATAGCAAGATGATGTGGTGAATTTAGCTTGCCTATATGAATACACATTGATTACCACCAATTCTCTTCCAATTTTGATATCCATGAATAGTAAAGGTTGCATGTGAGTGATTCATGTCAAATAGGGAGCAAGGAAAACAAAATGCCATATCTTTAGCAACTGAATACTCAAGCCAAGGGAATTTACCAAACCACGTTTTATTAAATCGACGTAAGTCTCGCCCATCTAAATGGCTTGGAAAATCTTCTAACTCCGGTCCGGTTGACATGCACTACAAGGAAAAACCCATTTGGCGACCAAATATATTTGGTCGCCTAATGTATGATTTTGGTCGCTGATTAATATTACCGACAAACATTTCGTCGCAATCAAGTCGTCGTAGAAGGCGCGTCGTAGATACTTGAAACAACGACCAAAAACTATTTTGGTCGCTAATTCTTATAAGAAACCAATAATTCGCGTCGCCCATCCTCACAATTTTGTCGTTGATCCCTTGCCTCATTGGCGCGTAAAATTTGATAAATGGCGCGAAAGTCCAAAGAATTGGCGACCAAATAAACATTTGGTCGCAATTTACCTTTGGCGTCCTAAACTTTTGGTCTCAAAAAGTGTAAATGTTGGTCGCTGAAGATACGTATGAACCTTAATTTATCGGTGACCAAATAAAAATTTGGTCTTGGTTTACATTTAATGTCAATATTTTTGGTCGAGGAAAATCTGTTTACTTCTAAGTTTTTGTCTCAAATACTGAATTATTTGGTCGCATGTTGATTTTAGTGTTTCTTTAATTGTTTTTAAAAACTGAAAAATATTTTTTGTTGAATATTAATATTATGCATTTTTTTCTTTTTCTATAATTAAATTAATATAGTTTTGATAAAACTTGTATTAAATGTCCCAGATAAAATTACCATAAGACTTCCCCAACTAAATTTTTTATAAATTACACAACATATATCAGCATAAAAACATACCATACTCCATGCAACATTTTCTTTTTAAAAGGAAACGGGATTCATAAGCAAAATATAGACATAGCATAATTCACAAAATCACCATAGTCACAATACCTTAGTTCAAAGTCATTTCCACTGAAAGAATGGAGGCCAAGCTCCATATATTCTTGCCTTTGGTAAAACCAAATTATGCGGTCATTATTTCTCCATTCTAAGACTGTTACTAAGCCTGTATACTATTTTGAACCCAAAAAACAAAATGCATGTATACTATTCCTTTTGTATCCCCAAGTTTTGTAGTCATGATCTTTAACACCTGTGGGATAGAGACTGTGACCTAATATCGTGGAATCAAAATATATATATATAGAGAGAGAGAGAGAGAGAGAGAGAGAGACCAAAGCTGAAATTCACAATCTTAACTAAATAAGCCATTAAAAAAGACTTTGGATCTACATAAGAAAACTGATTACTGGTCATCAATATTTAAGAATGTTCAAGAATGGTATTTGAATAGACTTAATAAAATTTGAATTCATTTTTCATACTTCTCAATATCAACTGTCTAAGCATGCCTTTGTGATAATAACAGAAATCAAATCATCAATTACCACAAATGAAGAAGGAAAACAGTTCCGAAAAACCAATGTAAAGACTAATATCATGCATAGCACAAACCCATTAGAAAATATAAATCACCTTAAATGGGACTGAGTGTAATGAGAAGAGGTTCTTACCTCAAATGGTCCTCTGTCCAAAACCCCAAACCAAATCCTTCCACCTCCTCAAATAAATCTAACATGCAGAAACAAGATATTACCCTAGTAAAGTTAGACTCCTAAATGACATTGTTCTAAACACATTATAAAATAAAGAGAACTGGATTATGACCCAAAAGAAAAGAGATAACGAGAACTGAAGGGTAGATGGTCTGGGGACAGAGAGTGGAAAATAACTTAGGCCATCAGAAATCTTTTGGGAAAGGAAGCATCCCATATCCTATTCAACGTGTTTAGTGAACTAACAACAATAGTGCAGAAGTCCTTGGCAGATCTATGCAGGTATTTTGGTTTAGGACCAGAATTAATTTAAAATATGATTCTTTTTAAGTGTTAAAAATTAATAAAAACACAAGGACAATAATATATCTAATTGCTCAAATAGAACAAATATGCCATGGACCTGTCTGCCGCGCAAATCTCACGGCCTGGAGTTCCGGGCCGAGGGGATATGCGTTGACACGCGGTTTCCTGCTTTTGGGTGCGGTGCGGTTGTGCGCTTTGTTGTTATATTTCAGCTATCATGACGTTATTCTGCCCATGCTGGACATTCGGTCAGGTTGCAGAGATTGTCAACAATGGTCAAACCTGTAAGTCGAGTTAAATCGTTTTCTGATTCCCATGAATGAATTAATATTTGACTACTTTTATGTTCACGACATTGATCTAAGTGTCAATATACGTTCAGCGTGCGCAGTCAATTCACTGATTTACATGCTGATCACGGTGTGCATCTTTGTGCCATGCTTGCTATCATGCACATATCGGAAAAAGCTAAGGAACAAGTTTGACCTACCTGAAAGCCCCGCTCCCGACTGCATCATTCACTTCTTATGTGAGTGGTGCGCTCTCTGCCAAGAACATAGGGAGCTCGAGCTCAGAGGCCTGGACCCTTCTTTAGGTACATACAAACACTCCCATTCACAATATGACGTTGTGATTTGCATATGTATGATGGCTTATGGTGTTTCATATGACATCTTTGTGTGTTGTAGGATGGGTAGGAAACATGGAGCATATGCAGAGGTTGCAGCAAAAGCGGCAAGCTGCCATGGCTCCCCCCACGACCCAAAGAATGACTGGATATTGAACAAAACCAAATGTTTGTGATATTGGCTATCCTTCCTATTTCCCATCAAAACTAAGCATCGACTTGGTATTTTGTTGGTTTGTATGCTTTTATGTTGTGGGATGCTTTTTTATCTTGTATTTTTTGTTATGAGGGGTGGTGAAGAGGGATGGATCATCAATGTCTAAACCGATTGATGTGAATGTGAACATTTTGTGATTTTGAATCAAACAGATGGTCCAGCTACAAGTCCTGCATTCCGATCTCTAGAACATTGGCGCGACATCCAAATTTGGGTCCGGGAAATATGAACTATTTCTGGCTCCAAACACGAACTTATCAAATACCTCATCTGATTAATGTTATTTTTTCACTTAACAGAGATCCAATTCACTAATACCAAACTAAGCAAACCCGAAAACGCACACCATGGATCAAGAAATTACACAAACGGGGCGACAACAAACCAGCCCCTCTTCTCTTCGTATTGTATTTAGCTTCAACACGCCAATTTTACAACTCAGAATGTATGTAGGTAGGTACAACTTGTAAAATATATTGGCAAAAATTGATTATTTTTTGGAAGAAAAGAAAAATGATGTGACATTTACTCAGCATAAATACACAAACGCACCAGAAACTTAAATGTTTATGGTGGCTTCCCAAAGCCTAAGAAGTCCATTACGACCGCCGCTGCATATCCTTTTCCTCTCGAGGTCCGTAGCAATACATCGTACCTGGATAGCACAAGGTAGTGAGTAAAACAGGGGAAACAAATAGCCATTAACAAGCAGATGCATACAGAACGGTAAAAGAAAATTATTATTATATCCAGAGAGAGAGAGAGAGAGAGAGAGAGAGAGAGCGTGTTTGGGGTTAGGGACGAGTGAGAGAGGGATTTGGAAAATAATAGTTTGCAGAATGAAAATTTGGTGAAAAATAAAGCGCTCATGCGAAAAAGAGAATAAAAAGTCGGGGCGGGCCACCAAAAATTTGAGCGTACAAAATACTTGGCGACCAAAATTATAGTAATTAGCGACCACTTTTTTTGTCGCATGATTTCCGCGCCCACTCTTACATCTCCCGCCTTGTACTTAGCGACCAAAAATACAAAGTCGTCGTAGGTTTCAACACTGCGACCAAACAATTTGGTCGCCAATTCGTACTTATTTCGTGGGTAATTATCAACTATTGAAATTTGATATTTGGAATTGTCAGGAAACTATTGGCGACCAACTCTGAAAACTTAGTCGCAGAATCATCCTATCAGCGACCACAAATATTTCGTCGCTGATAAGTTTGGTCGCAAAAAGGTAATTTTCTTCTAGTGATGGTCCTAAAATAATATAACCTTTTCGCACATTATCTTATTCATTCATCGAATATTGGCATATTTGACGACGTAATCCCGAATCACGCTCAAGATAATTGATATTAAAATCTTGACCACTATCAACTCTTTGGGTCTCAACTCTTTCAACTTGGGGCTCGACAATGGGAGAGTCTGGAAGATTTTGCTCATCACAAAGGGGAGGCATTCTACTAGATGATGACCCATCATTCTTTTTCTTAAAAAAAGAGAACAAATTCTTTGCTTTCTTGGGGTTCCGATTGTGATCCGACATAATAAAAGATAACCTATTTAATCAAACATCACAACCAAAAATCAAACAAATTCTCATAAGAGCATCAATGTCTTTAATCAAACATTAACATACCAACAACAAATCAAATATCTCAATAATACCAACATCAAATCAAACACCTCAACAAAGAGGAGACAATACTCAATTTCAAAGACCTAATTAATTTCAACAAAATCCCCAAATTATAATTAATTTCTAATTAAACCCTAGAATACTCAATTTCAAATTAAAATTAAAATTTAGATGCTTACATGTATTTTAGGAAAACCCCAAAAAGAGAAGATAATTAAAGAGGGGAGAATGAGGAATACTTGTTGCCAAGAAAGGAGAAGAAGCTGTTCAGAAGATCTTGCTGCCAAGGAGAGAAGAGGTGGGCACCGTCATTTGATAGCAATAGGGTTGCTTTGCTCCTTTTGTTTTTTTGTTTTTTTTTTTTAAGTATAAGTGGGCATGGCTCATGGGGTTAGGGAATGTTGGCTGGAGTATATGAGCTTATATTGCTTTTTATTGTTTTTGTTAAAGAAGAAAGTTTAAGTGGGCTGGGGTAAATAGAAAATTTTGAGTGGGTTGGGTTTGAGTAGGCAAGAGTGTTAGAAATATGCCCTTAAAGCCAACTCATTATGTAATAGTTAGAGTTAAGGACATCTTAGATAAAAGACATATTATGTTATCAATGGGCAAGAAAGGTTGTTTTATACATTAAATCATCATATATTATCTTTCAATATGTAGAACAACCATAGTCCAAGGAATACACAAGTGGATATGAGAGCTATGTAATGAGATTGCATATATGGAGACTTCTCATCACCCCTAAATTCTGAATATGTTCATGGTCATAGGAATATTGATTATGCATTCTGCAAAGGCCAGTACACACAATATCGTCTCTATATGTAGGCAATGGAAAGGTCTCAAGTCATTAAGTGTGGAGACACGTCAATATGTGTGTAGGTGCTTGTAGAAGAACAAGTGCACTAAATGCGATCCAACACATGAGTTACAGCAGGGAAGTCTTTACTCACATGTCAAGCTGGAACTCATAAATTGCAATGGTGCAAACTAATCCTTAGACCTGAGGCATCATAGATGTTTTGTGGCTATGTTGTTAATCTTTGAGGGCACTATACAGTCATGTTGAATTAAGCATAGCTTAAAGGTGCTCATCAGGATTCTCAACAGAGTCATGGAAGCAAATGAATGTACAATAAGGAATCTCTACTCTCATTAAATGAGAGAGAATACTCTCAGATATGATTGGTCAAATCTCTGCGTAGAGTAGTGGATAAAACTTGAAAGAAGAAGTCTTCAAATCTTACCAGGATAATCATATAAAAGGAATGATTCACATTAGGATATTGACAATCGGATTCCATGATCTAATAATGTGAATAAGGAATATTGACATAAGAGAAGGATTCAATTGCACAGTCATTCCAATTTGAATAGATTCTTTCACAATGTCTCATTTAGCTCGGATAACCGTGACTTACTACTAGGCAACAACCATAATAGTTTGTGGATGTCCAAAAATGTTTCAATTAACCTTTATTAATAGGAAGAATTAAATTGTGGAATTTAATTCGTATATCATCTCTGAGGAGTTGAGTTAACCCATTACCTTACTAAAGGAAACCTACGGATCTGCACACCCAAAGAATGTGATTAGATGTACAAATGAGGAGAAATGAAATGAGGAGACACAAGTCAATGGTTGATAATCAAATGTCAAAGTCAACATGTTGACCGGAGCAATTGACAAAAGTCAAATAGTTCGATCGGGTCAATTAAGTTAGACTATAATTATAATTTAATATTTAAATTATAATTAAAAGATTAATTATGGAATTAATATTGACATATAGAAATATTGTATTAGGCTTTTAAATATGATTTAAAAGGAATGGGACAAAATAGCCCAAAAGGCTATTGGGCCCAAGGGATAAGTGGCATAAGATAACATGACTCATGGATCAAATGGAGCCCCAAATACCCACCCAATTGCCTTTTGTGTTGTCCTATATAAGCTAAGTGTTGGAGAAAACCTAGCTAGGGTTTTCGGTTTCCTACTTTGGTTGATGAGTGATCATCTTTGTATCTCATCTTCCATAAACCAAAAATTGGTCCAATCAAGAAGTAGACTAGCATCCACACTTCTTGACTGCCTTCTCTTCATCTCTAGGAGCATTTGGTGTGGTGAGGTAGAGGACTCCAATCATAGAGCCTTAAGGTGAAGGAGTCAAAATCAAGAGAAACAAAAGGTTTTTCCAACAAAGGTGTTCATTCTTGAGAAATCAAGAAAAGGTCATCAAGGGTAAAGATCTATTCCTTTTTTTCTTTTTCTTTTTTTCAAAGAGACTAGGCTAAGATACTTGGTTTAAAATGAAAAAGGTTTAGCTCAACTAGTATAAACAAAATGAATCCGCCATTTAGAATGTTTTTGTTGTACATGTTGTGGCTAAAGTTCATTTCCTAAGCATTAGATGTATGTTTCCTTCACAAGTGAGGTAGGTCTTCAAGTTTTGAAAAGCTACTTTGGACTCTCCGTCCCATGTTTCTCTTTGTCATTTCTTCAAGGCTTTGAAGAATAGCCTGCACTTGTCAGTAGATCTCGAGAGGAATCGGTTGAGAGTTGCTACTCTACCCGTTAGACTTTGTATCTCCTTTGTTGTGGTATGCGATTTCATGTTGAGGATGGCCTTGGTTTCATTGGGATGTGCTTCGATGCCTTTTTGGGTGACTAAGTATCCCAAAAATTGGTCGGATGAGCTTCCAAATGTGCACTTGCTCCGATTCAACTTCATTTGGTATTTTCGGAGCAAGCTGAATGCTTCAGCAAGATTCTTGATGTGGACTGCTAGTTAGGGAGCTTTGACTAGCATGTCGTCTACGTAGACCTGCACAGTCTTTGTCGATCTGCTCCTTGAAAATCTTGTTCACCAGCCTTTGGTAGGTTGCTCCGTAGTTCTTTAGCCCTAAGGGGCATGACTTTATTGCAATATGTATCCCTTTCGATGATGAAGGAGGTCTTTGCTTTGTCGTCTTTATGCACCATGATTTGATTATATCCGAAGTAGGAGTCCATGAAGCTAAGCAATTGATTACCAGAAGTTGAATCTACGAGTTGATCAATTCTTGGCAGTGGAAAGTTTTCCTTTGGGTAAGCCTTATTGAGGTCGGTGTAGTCAACGCAAACTTTCCACTTTCCTTGGTCTTTCTTTGCCACCAGGGTAACATTGGCCAGTCATTCTACGTTGGAGACTTCTTCAATGAAATCGGCAGCTAGGAGCTTGTCGATCTCAGCTTCAATGATGGCAACCTGCTCAAGAGCGAAGTTGCATCTCTTCTACGCTATTGCTTTATTGGCTGGGTTGACGTGAAGGCAATGGCAGATAACCTACAGGTCGATGCATCATGCCTGGCATGTCCGATAGTGACCATGCGAACACGTCATTGTTGTTTTGGAGGAAGGTAGTCAGGTCCACCTTCTCTTCTAGCAAGCTAATCCGCACTTTTCTCTTTGGCTTGTCAGGATTAAAAGGTATTAGCTCAATGTCCTCTTCGGGCTTCCATCCTTCTTCAGGAGAGGCCTCCGAACGTATTCCCTCAGCTTGGTCCTGACTCTTTGATTGCTATTGGGGAGTAGCTATTCTCTTTCCTTTCTAGTCTGCTTGACTGTCAAGAACGGGATCTAGTACCTCCTCTAGTTGTTCTGCCCCCTTCAAATCTGCTTGATTTATAAGGACGAACTGTGTTTGCTTGCTTTTCTTCAGCCCTTGAGCTGAGCATTTTCTTGTCATTGCCTGATCACTGTTGATCTAGCCGACACCGCCCCCAAGGATTGGATAATGGATTTTCTGATTCGTGGCAGATGTGATGGCGTTGATTCTTGCCAATCCATGGTACGCGCAGGATGCCATTATAGGGGGAGATTTCATCAATGATCATAAATGTTTAAGATCTGATTACTGGTGAGGAGTAGACGTCGAGGTCCATCATGCCAATCGTAACCGAAGTTGCGACATTGAAGCCGGTCAGTGACCTGGCTGATTTGTTGATCTTTGTCTCCATCCTCATCTGCTATACGACCAACAATTGTAGGATGTTGGCTGTGCTGCCCTCGCCTGCGTGGATTTAGTCGACCATGGCTTGAGCATTTTGAATGTTGATGACGAGGGCATCACTATGCAGCAGGTCAAGGCTGATTAAACCTTTCTTTTGTAAGCCAACCACGGTATTGTATTCAACTGATGAAAGGTTGGTTAAGACTTTGGAGATAACAGTGGCATGTTTAATCTTCCTCTTCTTTTCTTTGCTGGTCAGCCCGGACTCCTCGGAGTCGGCCAGGATCGTGTTAATCCTTATGGCGTTCTGGGGAAGTTCCTTGGCTGCATCGCAATCCTCGATCTGTTGGATGGCCTTCTTTGCTATAAATTATGTGCAATGACCTTCTCTTACTAGTTCTTTGAACCCTTCCACTTTCATTCATCTCCAACATCTTATCCATCATACTACACACAACCTTGTGATTATAAGTTACACAATTTAATATTTATAATGTTTCTATAAGTTGTTTATAAAAATAAAAATAAATAGTAGAATTTCACATGTCTTTTTTTCTTTCTAATTAAATAAAAATAAAAATTATACACTTAATTAAATTAAAAATTATTATATATAGTAATTAAATTAAATATTAAAAATTAACTTTTATATTATTTTTTTCTAATCATGAAAACGTGGAGCTTCAAGCGGAAAACAGGGAGCGAGAAACAAGTTGCAGAAATTACTGAGTGGCCCCACAAATTACTTTAAAAATTATTATTATTATTATTGAGTGGCCCTGCAAATTACTTCTATAAAAGGAAACAATGGGAAAAAAAAAATCACACCCAAAAAAATATAAACTAATCTCCTCAAACTCAGAAGAATCTAAACCCATCTCCTCAAACTCAAATAACAAATGGCCTCTTGATTCCCATTTTCTCTCGATCTAAACCTAGCTCTGCCAACACAGGCATGGGGGCAAGGGGCTACACTAGTGCGGATGCCCTACTTTGCTTCCTCAAGAAGACCAGTTACCATAACCGATTCTTTACTCCTTGACAACGATGTTGTTGTTGGAGTTAGACTTGTGAGGAGTTTGGTGACTCCTAGGGATGTGCACGTGCCGAGAATGAGGGATGATAACTGGGTGGTGAGTGAGGCCATGACATTGAGCGTGCAAAATGCAGCATCTATCGCAAGTATGGGGCATCGCCCCATTGTAAAATCCCATGAGGTAGAGATGCTAAGAGCTCAGTTGGTTGCAGAGCGGAATTTGGTTGAAGATTGTCAGCATGTGATAAGGAGTTTTGAAGAAAGAGAGAGCAAAGATGGTGGAGGCGAATCGATATCAGCTTGAAATATTGCAGGAAGATAATCAAAAGCTATCAAAGATGGTAGATTTTTACTCTCAAGACATGCAAAAGCAGCTGGAGGCCCTGGATCGACTGGGTAAATGCAAGCACAGAGATCACGACACAAGTTATGCTCAAGCTAAGAGTGTGATCTTCCGGAGCTCAAGTGATGAGCCCCAAGAAGCAGTGCTAGAAAACCCGAGATAGGAGATCCAAAGGGCCAAACTAAAGTCTGATATTGTGGAATGATGAAGCACGCCATGATGTTATTGTTGTTTTTTTAAAAAAATTTAAAATTAATGTAGTCCCATGTTTCCTCTCTTTTTTTAATGTGAAATAAATATCTTTATATATTTTTCTAATTTTTTTAGTTTTGAAAAATGGTTTTTTGGAATAAGAAAACTGAAGATAATTTTTAGCAGCTTTCATTCATTACACATCAAATAAGAAAACTTGATTTTATGGGAATTTAGTATGAATTATATATTGACTTAATGAGCCATCATTTTTAGCCTAAATCGTATTTTGCACTAAAGCCGATTTTTCATATTGGTGGGAATTTGATTTTCTAGTATTTTTATTTACATTGTAAACTTAAGTAAAGGGAGTAATATAAAAATAAATGAAAGTAAAAGGCGAAAGACATCTACTTAAATGCTGAAAATGGAAATAAGGTAAGCTCCTTTAGAAAATAAAATTAAAAATTGAAAAAACACAGTAGGCCCATTTCAGCCCGGCCCATTGGGTTTTCTTGGGCTCAGCCCATGGGGCGGGCTTGGGCTTTTAATTTTCTAAGCTTGGCCCGGCACAGCCCATTATTTTCTCTCTCCTTTCTAAAGCCCGACCCAACCTAGCCCAAGGCCCGTTAAATGTGGGCGAGGTTGGCCCAGCCCAGCCCATTGGCAATCCCTAGTGCCCATGTGTCCCATGGAAGGCACAGTATCTTCTAGCATCCCTCTTGTTCAGGTCATCCTTCAAGAGTGGTGGTCTCTTCACATCAAGGCTTGTCCTTCACATGGGCTAAGATTAGATGTATGGGGATAAAGAACTTAGTGTAGTTCTCTTCTGCCAAAGCGTCCCCTTGGGGGCGCAACTTGCACTTGCTACTGTTCTTGTTGTCAAACATGTCACTCCTCTGACCTGCCTATTTGGTCTGTTAATCGGCCTGCTTGGTAGACTTTTTCCCTGCGATTCGATCATCATCCCAGAGCGTGTAGCGTTCCTCGGTTGCGAAGACCTCTACTAGAGTTTGGCTGGGAGTGATAGTTAACTCGCAGTATAAATTGTGCTCAGCCGGCAAACCTTTCTTGAAGGCTGAGGATGCGATTTGGTCATCGCACCCTACGATGTTTGCCTTTTCTATTTTGAATATCTTGATATAGTCTCGGAGAGACTCATTGTGCTTCTTGGGCAGGTTGAATAGGTGGTTAGGGTTCTTCTTGATCGTCCAATAAGAAGTGTACTCCTTGGTAAAGACGAAAGCTAGCTTTTTGAAGCTACTGATCGACCCAAATGGTAGAGTGTGGAACCAATCTTAGGCTGCTCCTCGCATGGTCATTGCAAATACCTTGCATATTAGCGCGTCTTTGGCCTTGTAGAGAATCATAACACTTTTGAAGTGCATGCTTCAGATGGCTCTGAAGATCGAAATCCCCTTTGAAGTGAGTGAAAGATGGCGTTGAGAATCTCTTTGGTGGAGCAGCCTGCTTGATTTTGGCTGTGAATGGTGATGAGTCTACTTGGTCCACCTCCCAATGCAGAGCATCTTCGAAATCTCTGCCAATCTTCAAGTCACGAAGCCGATTCACAAGCTTCTCAAACATCTTATGCGCACATAGCCTGGGTTTCACACTGATGTCTCCACGATTCGAGCGCCGTTATTGACTTCCCCGTTGACTTGCAAGGGCTAACCTCCTCAGTTGTCCTTCCTGTGCGGCATATTGGTGGACTACACCTTCTAGGGGTTTCCTGTGGCTTGTTGACGGGAATTGGTCCTTCAGGAGTGGGCTGCAGAGCGCCTTTCTTCATGAACCTCATTGCAAGGGTCGATTGATTGACCTCCTTAAGGACCTAGCCTCTCATGAACATTTCCTTGTGGGCCCAAGTAGGCGCGAATGTTAGGTTGCGGGCCCAGCCTTTCGTGCATGTTGGTCCTTGGACTCAACCTAGATCGAAGACTCGGTCTGCTTTGAGCCTGACTCACGGATGCTTATGACATGCCAACATCCAGATCATGCTCTTATCCTTCTCCTTGTCTGCTTGCTCTGCTCGATCTGCATGGGACCTCTAAACTACCCGCCGATGCGTTCGTCCGTCATTCTTTCTTCACCTTACAGTCCAAGGCCAAGATCTTAGACCAAGTCTATTTGGTTGAGGAGCTGCCTCACCAAGTTGTTTTGGTTGTCCACTCTCTGGGTCAGCTGGTCGACTTTAAGACTAAGGTCTACTTGACTTCATGGATCGAGAGGAGAGAATTGTGTGGAGTCCAATTGCACACGGGCTAGGGTTTCGTTGGAGGTGTACACAGGAACGTACGTCAAGTGCGGAGGCAAAGGAGGGAATGGACGCACTTGCTCCGAGATTGGGCCAAAGTCGGCAGCAACGACAAGTTGGTATCGGGCGGCAACGTTGGGATGGAACACGGTAGCGTAGTGGTGGTGGAGAGCATCGGACCCGGCTGCGAGGCTGAGTTAGTGGCAACTGCTAGACCCTGTTGCAAAGTCGCACGGTTGCAAGGCCGCAGCAACCACAATACCATAAGGCTGTCCGTGTGGCTGAACGGTGGGATCCAACGTAGCGATCGCGCTCGCAATGAGGTGGCTAAGATGTGGCGCGGTGTGGTGAGCCAGGACCATGGGGTGTTAAATCAAACAGGAGTAAAAGACCACACCCGAGGGGTGTTGGCCAAAGGCCCTCTGATGCCTAAGTTAGTTCGATTGAATCCTTAAGAAATAATAGCAACAAAAAAAAACGTACATAGTTTTCTTTATGGGGAGAACTGGGTAGCTGAAGCCATGTGGAAAGGCAAAAGTAGAGGAGCCGGCAACTAAGGTGGTCGTTGGCTAGGAGAGAGGGAGAGAGGGAGAGATGGATTTCAGGTGTTTTTCTAGGGTTTTGGAATTGAGTTTCGAATTACCTTGTGTGTTGAATGTAGCCATGTATTTATAGGGCTCTAGGCATCTAGGGCGTTTCAAAAAATATCTTCTTATTTGGAAATAAGATATTATTTCCCCAAATTGTAGAGATTGAATCAATTAGGAATTTGATTGGGATCAAATCACGAATTGATGATGATTTCTCCCAAATAAGATAATACTTTAAATTGGTGATATTATCTTTTAAATAAAGATAATTTTCCATATTTAAGATAATATCCCTATTTTTAGTATCAATTAATTGATCAAATAAATGGGCACAATTAATTGACCTATGAGATATTCTTTTTGTCCACGTGGCGCCTCATGATTGGAAGCCAAAATATTTGTTCCCACAAATTCTATGACTCAAATGACCTATCTGAATGCTCGTTTCAAAGAGTGCCCAAAGTAGGAAGCCTTATAAGTCCGAAGGAAGTAAAAGACCTAAAAAGCCCACTTCCTTTTTTTTTTTTTCAAAACGCGATGGTATAAAAAAAATGGTAGGTCTCATATGGAGACACAAACACATAATTACTAAGGTTACAAACCTCCACGATTTTTATTTAATTAATTTGTAAATGGTTAAAGCTATCACTGAAAATCTTTGGAGTCTTCGAGCGCACCAATTGAATTAATAGGCGCCCATAGGATTTCTTGTACGGCTTTTTTTCCTCTAGGCCACGGAGGTTCGTGTATTTCCATGGGGCCTGGGGTTTTTTTTTGGGTTGAATCTTTGGGCTCGGTCTTTGTTCGGCTTACTTGTCCATTTTGTGTTTTTTTTTTTTTATTAACTTACTTTTCCATTTTTTTTTTTTTGGTCTAAACCATGAGGTGGTCCTGGATGGGCCTCAACTATGGGTGGCACCTTTAAGCCTTAACCACAACCCAAACTAATCCTCACTCACACCGGGTCGGCCCGTAAGGGGTAAAGTGTTGGCCAAAATGGTGACTCCGTACGATACTTTTCCATTTTTTGGCTTTCTTATTCCCCCTTACTAAAAGTTACTTCCCAACTCGACATATTTTCTTCATCTCCTCTTATTTTCTTTCGTACTTCTATTTTGATTCCAAAAATTTCTACATACAATAGAAAAGCCCATTAGCACTCGCGTGATCTCATGCCAAGAGTTAAGCAAATACTTAAGGGAGCTTTTGTTTAAAATCAATAGGAAGTTTACTATTGTGGTAGATGATAATCTAATTTCACATCATCTAAAAAAATCAATGACTAAAATATGGTATCCAATCACATACATATTGCCACTCATATATTTTAATAAATTTATTTAAAGCCAATCATACAACGCCACATGTTCAACGACCCACCTTTGGCCGGCCACCTGCCACCACCACTTGCGGTGCCCTTTATTCACCTTAAAAAATAGCAAATTTTGTGTACTTAAAGGGACTTGAACCTTGACCCTCAAAAGAGAAGCTTCAATTGCAAATCACTAAACTAACCTTATTTTTGTGATATTTGTTCATTTACAAAATATGTATATGAACTGTCAAAGGTTTATACTTTATAGAATAGAAATTATCACCCAGTGTGTACTTTTATGGCACCCTTATATTGGTAATTTTTTTTTTTCAGATTTATAATAGAAACTGCAACACAATGTGTATTTTTTTTTTTTGTTACTCTTAATTGGTATTTTTTTAGGTTTATATTATAAAAAAATAAAAAATAAAAAAACCTTCAACGCATTGTCTATTTTTATTTTACTCTTATATTGATATATTTATAAATTTATAGAATAAAAACTGCAACACATGATGTACTTTTACGTTACTTTTATATTGAAAAATTGCAATACAGCGTCTTTATTCTCAAACATGGAGCACACAGTCGGCACTACTTGTCCCAAAAAATTGATGAATGATTGGAGAGAGAGAGAGAGGAGAGAGAGAGAGAGAGAGAGGCTTTGCTTTTTCTTTCCCACACATCGTCACATGGAGATGCACATGCATATTGCCATGTGGAGTGTGTTTGAGCTTTTGATGGATGCCGAATTGGCAATAATAATAAAAACCATGTTCCTCAATTCCGTCTCGATTGTCATTAGTCAATAGCGACAAGTTGATAATTAAGAGACGTGCTCTGCATGACGCGGTCTCTCTCAAATCTTAATTATAATTTTATCTTTTACATCTAAATGCGCGTTGAGCTGCATCACCGACTATGACCTCTCTTTTCTTCATTCCATTTTGCTTTAATTTTCAATTTGGAGGGCCCATAAACCATGTGAGTTCGTCCCACACATCATTTTCTCTGTCAATTTAGTTTGATAGTGAGGTCATGGATCTTAAGTAGGACAGTTTACTACCCAAAAACAATCTTATTGGATTTAGGAGTAAGGGTAGTTGGAGCATTTACACCTATCCCTTTTTATCATGGCAAAAAGGGGCCTAAGTTTCAAAAACAATCTTCACTCAAGGAAAAATTGCCAGGGTAAGAAGTGAGCCATGAAACTGGACAAGCCCAAAAGCAAGACTTGCCTAGGCTGCTGCATGGGCAGTCACTATTAATGTAATAGATTTCAGCATGATTTGTAATTACATGATTTTTCTTATGATTTTAATAGATTGTAATTACAAGATTTTATTTATAATTTTAATTCACATAAGACTTTCTTGTATTCTCCAAAGTAGATTTCACCGAAGTGTGGATTGGATTCGGGTTAGCCATCTTCCATCCATTAGTTAAAAGATGCCAAGCCTTTACAGAAACAGAAAGTTGAAGTTACACCAATATTAGCTCAAGTTATCATTACTATGTGTCACATACGGATTTCTTCAAATCATCTTGTTCTAGAGCTAAAACCATAGCGGTCTCAAAATTCAAACATAACTATCATTAAACTAAAACCACGCAGCTATTAAGTTTTGGTTAGAGAACTTGGTCTGGAACTGAAAATTGACATAGGAACAGGCTATAACAAGGAAATTTTTTGAATGAATTGAATTAATAAATATTACAATAGACAAGTTAATTGAATCAGTTCAAATAAGAAACTGGACAGCTGAAAACAAGTCAAAATGGTCCAACTATGACATGATACTAGTACAGAACACTTGTCACTCAAATTGATTCCACAAATTGACTAAAGAAAGACAAATAAATCAAAGGAAATAAACGAGCCGAAAAGCTATTGAGAAAACTGCACGCATATTGCATAATATGAACAACTATTGAAAGCAACGTATCTGAAATTATTGTTTAGATATATGAAGGTAAGCCATCTGAGTCTATCCTTTAAAAACAGAAGGATCGAGTCTGGTTAAACCAAGCCGTTGTAATAAGACATGAGTCTGGTTATTCATCTAGTTGGTCCCTTTGAAAATCAGCACAACTAGCCGTGCTTAAGCACCTTCTCATTCATGATGAAGGCATGGCTGGAATCCTAGCTGCCTGATTTTAAGGAGATTCGCTCCCTCGAACCTCATATATAAATACATCTCATATACAATCAGACAAGGGTATTAACTTCATAACTCTCAAAAATTCCGTCCATTTTCACTCTAAAACATTATCTACTTCACTCTGACTTTGGCATCAAAGAGGGTTGGTTGGTATGACACCAATACCCCCGTAGTGACCCATTCTATCTTTTGTGCAGATCATTCCAGTTAAGAAGGGAAGACCTTACCCTCAGGGGCAGCCCTGAGGATGTGCAAGTGGTGCC